CCCCCGGCCGGGAAAAGGGGCAGACGCTCGGCCTCGCGCTGGGTTTTGCTACGGCTCCGCGGCGGGATCAGGAGCCGCGGAGGCGGCTCGGCGTCCCGGCGCAGCCGAGGGCTTCCTGAAGGTTAAATACTCCCTGGGGCAGCCACGGGGGACGGGAGCTGCCGGCATCGCGCCGGATGGGACCTGCTTTCCGACGGGAAAAGCTGGTGTCCTTACAACAGCGCTGCTCACGCGGGGAGAAGAACCCAGGCACTCGTGCGGGGCAAGCCTTTCCGCCTCTCTCCTCGCCTCCTGAGCCTAAGACACAGCCAGAAAAAACATCTGTTACTGAAGGTGGCAAGGAGTCAAAGGGTGCAGGGGAGGGCGGGTAGAAAAAAGGGCACGCAGCTTTCATTCATTCCGCTTTTAAATGGAGATAAGGCCTCGTGGAGGGACTTCGACTGGAACAGAGAAAAAATAATAATAATAAAAAAAACTTCACTCAAATGCCAGGCAGAGGTTTCCATACCGTGCTCCCCAGGAAACCGTCACATGACACTAATTCCCCTTCTTTCCGCTATTAAACCGCACTGAAAAGGAGCTAACCTAAAAATATTAATTTTTCCATGTCAGCAGTTGCTGGAATTGCCTTTGGGAGTGGGAGCAGGGAGGGGCTCATCGGGAAGGAAGGAGAAGGGATTTGCACGACCGCGGATGCACGGAGAGACTCCCAAGGCGCTGGCTCTAGAGAGGGAAGGTCCAGCCGCCCTTGGGATGCTCCGAAACCTCCGGGGGCAGCACCTTTGCGCCGAGCCCACAGCGAAACCTGCCAGCTCCCAGTTCGACGCTCGCGTACCGGCTTGATTAACGAGCCCGGATTACCACGAGGCATCAACAGCACCGTCAGGCAGCAGAAGAGCCGAGCCCCAGGTTTGCAACCCGGCTGAAACTTAGCAGGGAGCGGTGTCCCCCCCCGTCACCCGCCAGCGGGCTCGGGCCGTCAGTCCCAATTAAGAGCTCCCCACGGGGGCTTCCCGGCGGCGACGGCAGAGCGCCCAACGGGTGCCACCGAGCGCCAGCCCCGGTTCGGCCGGGAGGCCAGGGAGAGGCGAGGGGCAAGGTTACTTCTCGGTGCGAGCGCTTGATACCTTCGCATCCGCAACTCGCGTTTCGCCTCCTGCCGTTCGTGCGCACGGGGAACCGTCGCCCCCGGCACGATGCCTGCTGGGCTGATGACCCTTAAGCCACGTCGGATGCCACTGCCAGGCTGGTTACTCTGGTTTAAGCCCCAGCTTATCCACCCAAAGCGACCAAAATAGCAATCCCAGAATTAAGAGGGATTTTATTGCAGATATTGGGAATTATTAGCCTGCTTCCCAAGGGGAAGTGCTCTGGGCATGCCTACGGAGAGGAGCCCAGGAACAGCTCTCCGACTAATTCACGCCGGTGGTTTTCCCTCCGTAGACAACCCCAAGAACCCCTCTCCTTTCTGGATGAGACAGGCTTTGCCAAGATCTAGATTTCCCACTGAATCTCATAGGGACCAAAAGCTCCCAAACCTCACCCAACCGGGTAGCTCGGAGGTGACTCAACGCTTCCATAATCTAAAACAGGCTTAATATTATTTACCTTGCCCATAGGGCTGGGGGAGCTGAGGCTCAGGTTTCAGGCTAGCTCCTTGCAAGCTTGGTCCAAAAGCCGCATCACCTTTAGAAGAAAGCTCTCAGCCCGACGTTGTGAACTTTGCATTTGAGGGAGCGCCGACCCCATGGCTAATCCGTCAGCGCTCCGCGGGTGCGACAGCTTTCGTTAGGGTTTCGGGGGTTCGGTTTAAATAACGAAGCTGAGGAAGAACAAGAGGCGAAAGCTGATCCTGCCCCGCGAGGAAGCCCGGGTCGCCTCCGCCGCCCAGAGAGGTCAAACCCTCAATCCACTTCCCGCGTCGACAGCGACTGCATGGAGCTGCATGGAGCAACCAGACGTTTCAGCTTTAAAATAAGAAGGCAGTTTCTGACCTATATACGTGTGAATAAACCCTCTCTCACGCCTCAGCACGATCAGAGCGGAGCGGATGGGGCATTGCCTACCGGAGCGTGCAAAAAGCCTAAAACGGGTCGGAGGAGCGCAAAGACTCCATCAACCTCAGCCGGGGCAGAGCTCCCCGGGCCGGCGCTGACAGCCGTTAAAGCCTGGCAGCGAAACAGTAAAGGCCGATTGTTTTAGCAGATGGAAGAGAAGAGGGTGGGATCGAAACGCGAACAGGAAGAAAACGTACATTGCGCCGGGGGTGGGAGGAAGAGAGGGAAGGAGAAGACGACGGACCAGGAGAGGGCGAACAGCGGGAACCCTAACGGAGAACATCCTCCCCGACCCGGCACCCGTTATACACGCAAATGGGAAAAAAACAAACCACTGCTAAACTCGGGCGATGGCGAGATGCCCACGGGCTGCCCTTGCTCTTCGCACACGCGTTGCCATCGGTGGCAGCCCTGCAGCGATTCAAGGGCAGCGTGTAGCCTTAACCGTAGAGCCTCCCTAGAGACCAGCCAGCCGGGGAATTCAGCCCTCACCGGGGAAGCAGCGGACGCCATGGTGCTCCCCATGTGGGCCTGCACATGTTAGGCAGGCTTAGGAGGAGAGTGGCTGGGGGCGTTCGCAACGGGGGGGGGGGGGGGGGGGTGGAATAAATAAAAGAAAATCAAAAGGAGCCCGTTTTATTCCATTGCAGCACTAAACTCGGCTTCTCCTGTTAAGGCGACGTTAAAACGCAAGGCAGGGTTGGCAGGTAAAAGGCGCCAGCCTGCAATTTCACGTTCGCTCGAGCTAAGGAGGACGGCTCTCGGCAGCTCTTTCAAAGGGACGTCGTTTCTCCCGGGGTGGGGGACGAGGCAGCTTTTC